GTTTTCACCCAGTTCTCATCGATATATAATGGCTGGCCCATTTTTCTTTATCTTTCATTAGTATCCAGTTTTTCTGGATACCTGACCACATCTGTATTCTGGCGAATGAGCTCACTGACACCGCAGCTAAGTCTGTCTGCTCTGGTGCCATCACAGCCGTGCCTATCCCATATATGGACTAGAGTCCTGTATTGAAGGCTCGACTTTGCGCTATTTGGCAGTTGACTTGGTGTGAGCAATGTCATAACAAACTTTTCAGATCATACCTTCTGTTGTTACTTGGCGATCTTGTTTCCATAAGGATCGGAATGAGAAAGTTGTCCTGGCTAGGCTACGCATTGGTTACAGTTTTTTAACTTATCATTTTCTTTTATCTGGGACTGATCCACCATTGTGTGTTGTTTGTGACACTCAAATCACAATAGCTCATATTTTACTGTAATGCCATTGTTATGATTGTGAGCTGCAGCACCATTTTAGAAATGTCTTTTTTATTGGTTTACCCCTGATGTTGGATAGTGTCATTGGCGATGGTGACATAGTCCAACTTAATTGTGTTTTTAACTTTTTATGAGCCATTGGCCTTTTTAATTCTATTTGAGCCTTTTATGTGACTTTTTGACATTGTTTAGTTTTTAATTTGATTTATTTTTACATTTTATAGAATTTTACATTTTTACCGGTTGTTTGACACAGATAGCCTAGTTACTTTGCACCAAACAAACAACCTGTTGGCTTTGGCCAAGGTTGAACTCCCCATTATGGTCCACTGCACCCTAGCCACTCTACAACATGGGTCTCTTCATTTAAATTATGGGGTTCCTCCTATGATTCAACTTTTATTGCAACACATCAATTTCATGAATGAATATTATGTCTGGCCCAGAAGTGGTGCAGTCTCCCATGAGTGTGTCTTAAATACTCTTTATTCACAAACCTCATGGGCTTTTTTCGGGAACTTTCTGAAGAGGGTTCATCTAGGTAATGTTATATAGGTCCCTCCACCAGACCAGTGGAGGTAAGATATTGTATTGGAAGTTAAAATTTTTTTTCTATGGAAAATATTTTTCCAATTGATTCTCACCTCTTCTCACACTTCTTCTTCTAGGTAGGTATTTTTGGTTTAAAACCAGGGGTGGTCAGAAATTTGGATTTCTCTTCGCCTCACAATTGATTTTTTCTGCTTTCTGTTGGATTTAATGAAAGTATTTTAGAAGTGGTTCATACTGAATGATTCTCTCTGACTTCACTTGCTACTCAAGCAAAAAGGAGAAGCCATGAAAAGTAGACTGGAAAGGTTCTTTCTCTTGTTTGTTGTTGACTGCATGACAAGATGCAAATCGTTGAGCCCACTACAATTTGTGGAAACATGCAGCAGGGGAGATGCAGAGGTGACACGTGCTGACCCCAGGAGGCCTTCACACACCACTCCAAGAGGGGTCAAGACATAAACTAACCTCCCAACTTCCAGTGTCTTTTTATTTTATGTTTCTCAATCTTGAAATGAAATTGAGCTAAGCTGCATAGAGGGAGTCAGCTGTGCTAGGAGTTGTGTTGCACTCCTATTGGTGGAGAGTTGTTGCATGCTATTATGTGAAAACATGTGAGGGTAGGTGGGAGTATCAAGGTTAGTGATGAGCAAAAATTCCGCATATAGTGGGCAGTACAAGTCGAGAAAAGCTATTATGTGAGAAGAAGTAAGAATCTATCAGAAATATATTTTTACTGTAGGAAAATGTTAACCTTCCTGATTTTTGTGTCTATAGAGTTTCACTGTAAACTTTCTAGCTGTATTGTGTTTTAGTAACTACTAAGTTTCCTGATTTTTTTTTTCTGTATAGCATTTCATTGTAAGCTTCCATATTTTCTTGTATGTATTGTGTTTTAATGACTCCTAAACTTCCTGATTTTCTATGTGTAAAGTGTTTCAGTGATTTGCAAACTTTCTGATTTTTCTGTGTTTATGGTGTTTTAGTGACTTGTAAACTTCCTGATTTTCTGTGTTTATGGTGTTTTAGTGACTTGTAAGCTTCCTGATTTTCTGTGTTTATAGTGTTTTAGTTACTTGTAAACTTCCTGATATTCTGTGTTTATAGTGTTTTAGTTACTTGTAAACTTCCTGATATTCTGTGTTTATAGTGTTTTAGTTACTTGTAAACTTCCTGATTTCCTTATCTGTATAGTGTTTCACTGTAAACTTCTATATTGTCTTGTCTGTCTAGTGTTTCAGTGACTTTTAAACTTCCATATTTTCCTGTTTTTATAGTTGTTTAAGTGTAACCCTCCTGATTTTCCTGTCTATAGTGTTTCAGGATAAACTTCTCGATTTTCACCCACTTGTAGTAGTTTATGATATAAGGATTTTGAACAAACGATATTCAAGTGAGTACTCTTACCAATCATTACCATAGAAACATAACTGCCAAGTTATACATGAACCCCAGTGCTAGAATCATTGGATTGAACAGTGCTCAGTTGTTAAATGCAACTAATCTTGAGTTCTTGGGTACTTGTTGGTATGGAACAAAACTATAAATTGATATGTCCATGGTTTTTTACATGCTGCCATAGTATGAAAATAAGATAAACATTTGAATTGTAGATAATCACATATTTAGATCATTCTTCAGAAAGAAAAGCATTATGGAAAAGACTAAAATTTCATCAAATTACAAAACTGGTTGATAGCTATTATTTTGCAAAGATACAGCTTTCTACTACCATACTCACCAGGGATCTGGTCATTTGAAAAAGGGAACTTTTGTGATTTAACATTTTCCTTGTGGCTTTAAGCAATTAGTGACCACAGGTTGTTTACTTTTAAGATCTTGATACACAGTGTGGGTTTATGACAATGACAACCAACAAAGAAGTAGCAGAACTGATAAGTGTCTTAAGTTTGAATAATATGTATTTACATGCTTTTCCCATAAATATACAGGTATTTCTTCAGTTTCTTTATTAATTTGAGTCCTAAAACATATCTGTTATTACCAAAAAAAATGGCCACCATTACAAATTTGTATAACACAGGTAGATTAACGGAGAAAAGTTGACTTTGAAGAGCATCAGGTTTTAGGCTATTTCCACGAATAAGTATTTTTCTATGTGTGTTATGGAAAATTTTATCAAAAAAGTTAAACTTGAAGACTTTGATAAACAGTACATTTGGTAAAATTTATAACAATTATTCTTTATTTATAACATTTCTAAATGTTCCTAGTATTATAAAATTTACATGTTTTACTTTTCTCTGTACATTGAACAGCCATAAATTTATTAATAATAGGTTTAGCATGATAAAATTTTGCACAGTTATTATTAGTAAAACAAAATACAAGGATACTGAAAGTCTCAAAATGTGAGAGAGAGGCATGACTCATGGTTGCATGACATGAATTATCCATATGTAAAATAAAGTGGGAATTTAGTCTTGATAAAATGTCGTGTTGATACTTAACTTTAGTCCTCTTTTTTCATGTTATGTGTTTATATTTATGATTACTTTATTTCTACTCTAAAAAAATGTATATAATGCTTTTCAGCAACTTACAACAGTTTGAATACATTTAACAAGTCAATGTAATAAATTGTGCATTGAAGTTTCAAGTCTGTAGCCTGTCTGTTATTTAGTTGATTCCTTCTCTTATACAATAACTGTTTTATATAGGTTGTTTCTACCCCCCCCCCTATTATCAGACTTCTTTATAAACTTTGTTATATTTGAGTGATGTCTGATTAAATAAGGTCAGTGCAGTTCATTCAGGTACCAAGATCACTATGAAAAGAATCCCCAGGTGTGACAGTGGTAAGTTTATAGAATTACAGTGCCAACATGTGGGGTATGATTCCCTACTGTGGACACAGCAGATGGCCCATTATGCCTTTTTTCAAAAAACAAACACTATGAAAAGTATGATAATGGATCTCAGTATTGTTTGTTCTGATCTAAGTAGGTAACTTGCTATGATTGGAGGTAGGAATATTTAAACAAAAAAAAAAGCTGTTAATCTGTTTAACATAAACATTTATGACTTTAACCCAAACTTTTGTTATATAATTACATATATTATTGTCCTCATCCAAACACTTTTAAAGAATATTTTCTTAAATTTTTTCTTTATATGAATAATGTTGTGCATTATATTGAGTTAAATATATATATATATTCCCTTAATTAGTGGATATTTTCAATTGTACGTGTATGGTATACTTTACAAGAGTTACGTTAATAAACTTGCAAGTGTTAGAAGTTCTTTTTTCAGTTATGCCTAGTATATATTTATTAGTACTACAGAAAAGATTTGTTGTGTATTTTGCATTATGCTGTTTTTTTTTATCCTTTCAGAAGTTTACTACAGAGAGAGAATTTATGTTTTTGATATTAAATTAGTATAATATATAGTTTATACAGCTAATTATATAGGATTAATATTTAGTTTTTTTTCATTTTGTAAATCTTATAATAGGCACTGAATAAGCTCGGCTTTCTTCAAAAGTTTTCTCTCAGAAGAAGATTTTTGGGACAACAGCACGTGAGTTT